GGAAGGTGTCCCTGCCCATGGCAGGGGGGTGGAACTAGATGAGCTTTAAGGTTCCTTCCAACCCAAACCATTCTAGGACTCTGTATTCCCACACAGCAACATAAGCTGGGTATGTGCTGCACTGTGATTTCTAGGCTCCTGTTTCATCCTCCCATACAGTCAGCAGGGTTTAATACTTAGTAAATAAGGGAGGATAGAGAACAGCAGCTTGAGTGCGCCCAACTCTGGGGAATCACTGTGCATCTCCATGACAGCACAAAGCAGTCAGTCCCTGCAGCCTACATTAAACCTGTCCTCAAAAGTAGGTGCTTGTCCAGGAAAGGCAGAGGCTGGGGGTACAGGAAACCCTCCAGGATATGCTCACAGAGCCGGCAGGAGCAGGGACTCCCTGCTCACAGCACTCACTTTGTCCGGATGTCCAGGTCATCATGGCTGGAGTGGCACATCTCACTGAAGCGGGAGACAAAGAAGTCATAGCTGCGGTGATAAGATGGAGTGTCCTCTTCTATGTTGGCAAACTTCACAAACTGGGTGAGAAGAAAGAGGAGGTCAGCCCTGAGGGCATACCAACAAAAGTATTTTTCCACTTCCTCTCCAAACCAGCTTTGTGGGCTTCACTACCTTAGCTCAGCATGTGCTGACGGATGACAAGTCTGGTTGCCCAGCTGCATCTAGGCCAGAGGGTCCTACCACAGAGCACCACCATCTCCAGCAGTACCCAGGCCCAACCAAACTTCACTGCAAGCCACAGCTGTCCCTATAAAGGGCATTTAGAGGTGCAACAAGGCTCCAAGTTAGGGATCCTAAATATGCAATGCACACTTATAACAGGAGATAAATTTGCCCCCAGCTTCTTTTCATCCTTCCAGATGGCAACAAAACCCAGCCAACATTTCCCAAACACTGCTGCAGGGTGAAAACAGCCCTGAAAGTGCCAGTGGAGAAACCAGCTGCAAGCAGGTTCTTAACCACATCCCAGATCTTGCCCGCAGCACAAAACAGCACAAGGTCCCATTGCTCCCTTCCAGTATAGCCACACCAAGAGGTACAGAGCTTGTCAGAAATGCCAGCTGACCAACAGATCTGGCTGTTAAGCTTTCAGGGAAAGAATTAAAGAGGAAGAAAGGATAAACATGTTTGCAAGCTTTCCTCTTAATTCCCTAACTTATTCATAGCTGGGAAAGCCCTTTGCAATGGGAGCAGGGTCTCCAGGCAGCACTCACATCCTTCTACCCAAGGGTGGCCCAAGCTCCACAGGAGACTGGAGAAGTGCCACTTGCTGTGCATGTAGCCACAGAAGAAAGGAGGGATGAAAAGTAACTTCATGTGGGTCCTGATGGTAGGGCTTGCAAGATGGGTATCATATCATACGCAAAGAATTAGGTCTCTAAAGTCTAGTAGCCTAAAATAACTCTCAGGAATATTATTATCCTAATAAAAGAAGAGTATGCCCCATGTCAGGCGGGATGGAACTAGATGAGATTTAAAGTACCTTCCAACCCAAACCATTCTGTGATTCTATGACTGCCGAGTTCCTCTTCCAAGTGGGATACCTAGCCTGCCTCCAAGGGGTTACCTGTCCACAGCATTTCTTAGGGTGCTCAGCACCCTCTGGACATGCCATGCTGCACAGGAGCTCCTTCTTTACCCAAACTCTATCTGCAGGCATTTCTCACTTTTTGCTCTCTGCATTTACTGGCATCCAGCCCCACCAGGAAAGCAGCAGGCAAACAGCCCACCAGTACCCCTCCACAGCTGGCAAAGCCAGCCCAGCATCCCAGTGCATCACACAGATGCTGATTATCATGCACCCGCTGTGCCGGGCTATTAATAATGTCAGCTGCAAGGGCTGGCTCTGCGCAAGCAAAGGAGCTGCTGAGCCCCGCCAGGAACTGTTCCCAGAGCACACAGACTGGCTCCAACTGATAAACTCTTCTTACTCACCAGAAAAATGCAGGGCTGTTATATAAGAAACCTCTGTACCAGGCAGCACACAAAGTGGCTATTTAAAGCTCATAGCAACTCCACGTGCAACCGGAGGCGAGGGCAGGGTGCAGAGTGAGGAGCAGTAATGGGGCTCCCCATGGCGGCTCCAGGAGAGCTGTTTCAAGTGTCCCAGGAGAGCTGTTCCAAGTGTCCCATGGCTATGAAGCATCATGAAATCAAGGAAGGGAACAGCTTCTCTGCAGCCAGTATCTGCAGGTATCAATCACACAGCCATGCAGAGAACAGCAGCTCATTTTGTGCCATCAGGACACCAAACAGGGCCAATTCATCAGTGCTCCTGTGAATCTGCCAAGGCCCTGGGGATTGCCAGCTCACACATCCACGCCAGCAGCACCCTTGGTTCAGCTCCCTGCCCCAAGGGCAGCTTCCACGGCTGGCTGCCAGGCACAGTGAACCCTGCCCTCCTCTGTCCTGGGGGAACAGACATCCCCCAGCTACGCCCAGTGACACTGGATGCAGCAGTGTTCACATCTGCCAACAGCTGGAGGCTGCTGCCTTCTCTGCATCCATTTTCACAGCCTCTGGCAGGGCCAGAACTTATAAAAAGCAGCCAAGAACAGAGAAAAATCAGCCTCAAAGCCTCTTCTTCCTTCATCTATTTTTAGGAGTCTCCCACCTGCTCAGACTATTACACTTTTCCAAGACTTGGCTGCCCCTACAGGAGTGCCATACCGAGCAGTAATTACAGGAGATGCCCACCCTGGTCCCACTTCCAACCCACACCCAGTGGCAAAAAGCAGCACCAGGACACACAGAAATGCCCCAGGGAGAGCTGGGCCAGCAGGAAAGGAGGCATTGAACCTTCAGAGAAACCTTCACTAACGGGCACCACATCCCAGCTGAAAAGCTAGTCTCTACAGCTTCACACGGGCTTTCCACTGGGAAAACAGTTTAAAACATTGAAATGCAACATGCTTTCTGCTGTGGCTTGAAGGGGTGCAGGGCTGGGCAGTTTGGGGCTCCCCTGCTTGAAGCCAACAAGCTCCAACTGAAACACGGCTGGGAGCAGGGAGCTAGTGCAGGGGAGATGCAAGGAGCACGGCTGCCTTGGAGAAGCAAAACAATGGCTGGGAAGGGATAACGCTGCCACCTATAAATACATCAGACATAAATACATCAGAAGAGGAACATCAAGGCGGGGGAAGAGCTGTTTAAATGAAAGATCAATGGTGGTTTGAGGAAAAATAAAATGGGAATGACATTGAGCTGGAAATTAGATGGTTCCTACCCAAAGATGGGAGGTTGCCCAGCATACTCCTAACGAGGATGAGAAAGCAAAGTAGATTTAAGCTCCAGCTCCATATGTTCACCCTGGGGATTACAGGATGGGGTTATAGTGATCATGGGATGCTGGATTTTTGCTGCCACTTCCAGCACTGCAGCTGTGGAGCCTGATGGGCTGGTCCTTGGGATCAGCCCCACTGCAGCCGCTTGGGATCAGCCTTGGCTCTGCACGACAAGGGAGATGTGTCTCAGGCGAGATTTCACGGCACGGAGGATGACTCACTTGGAGCAGGTTTCTATAAACAACCTCCTCCCGCCTTTGCCATCAGCTCCGTTATTGTGAAGATTGCTTGAGACAGCACCCTCTAATTAAGCACGAGCCTGAGGCACATTCCTCATTAGCAGATATAGGAAGAAGTGTCTCATTATCATTAGTCACTTTTCTATAAAAGCCCTCAAGTTTTCTGTGCTATTTGCCCTGTGAATGCTGCCACGCTTGAGAAGGGGAAAATAAGAAACCCATCACTAAACCATCATTCCTGATCTGGATTCCTCATTAAAACACTCGCTCCCAATTCCTGACTGCAGTGACAGCAGTGCCAAGGAAACACCTATATGTGGTTCAGGACAGGCCTCTTCAGCCAGGAGAAGAGAAGGCTCCAGGGAGACCTTAGAGCAGCTTCCAGTGCCTAAAGGGGCCAACAAGAAATCTGGAGAGGGGCTTTTGACAAAGGCCTTTAGGGACAGGACAAGAGGGAATGGCTTTAAACTGACAGAGGGGAGATTGAGATGAGACCTTAGGAAGAAGTTCTTCCCTGTGAGGGTGGTGAGGCCCTGGCACAGGGTGCCCAGAGAAGCTGTGGCTGCCCCATCCCTGGGAGTGTCCAAGGCCAGGTTGGATGGGGCTTGGAGCAACCCGGCCTAGTTTGAAAGGGTCCCCTCTCATTTTTTTGAAACTAGATGAGCTTTAAGCTCCCTTCCAACCCAAACCATTCTATGATGATTCTGTGACTACCTCTCCCCTCCATGGGTGCCTGAACATGGCAGGTTTGCTCCACACGGGCAGGAAACACAAGGCAGCGCTCTGTCTTGCCTTGACCCGATGCCTCCCAAGGCATCCAACTCAAGGATGTCTGTGTTGCTGTGTTTGGGCTGGTCTGCTGAAGCCTCTGCCATGGCACCGTGAGGTCCTGCAGCAAGGGCTCTCCCCTCCCCAGTCTCATGCCAGCAGCTCCGATTGAGGTGCAGATCCATTGAGCTTGTTTTCCCCAGGACCCCCAGGTCCCTTTCCACAGAGCTGCTCCCCAGCCAGGCAGATCCCAGCCTGTGCTGCACTCCTGGATTGTGCTTACCCAGGCGCAAGACCTTACACTTGTCCCTGACGAACTTCATAACGTTCTTGTAAGCCCACTCTTCCAGCCTGTCCAACTTACCCTGCAGGTTGGCTCTTCCCCTCTCAGTTTGGTGTCATCGGCAACTTGAAAAAGCTTAGGGCTGAGCTGTCTATGTGCTTCCAAGGCACAAGAGAGAGCACCAACCCTATCCACCCTCCTGCCCACAGGATGATCAGCTCCATCTAAACATCACCTCTTACAAAGCAGCAAGGACAGATGCTGCTTGTCCAAGCCAAGCTACCAGGCACTGGCAGAGCCCTCACAAGCCAAGCTGTTAGGTACACCCCGTGTTCCCAGTAAAAAACAAGAAAAAGACCAAGCACAAGTGGCAGCTAGCTGTCAGCCAGGATCAGCAGTTTGGATGCTGGAGGACATCAACTTTGTTCATGTGTGCTTCTCCTTTCCCCTCATTTTATATCTGTCACTGACACATCCCCAGTCCAGCTAAGCCATTTATTGCAAGCAGCAGCTCTGTTTAAGCCAGCCCTTTTCTGAGCACAAATAGCTCTCAAAATCCATAGGGATCACCTCCTAAATTGGTCTGTTGTCCAAAACTGCTGACAGCCCCCGAGTCCTCAGGCTCATTTAGGAAACGCTGAATCCAAGTGGAGGAAGGCATGGCAGCAGAGATCAAGAGACCAGTGACTGGTCACAGACAATAAAAAGCAGGGACAGCACACATGCAGCACAGTCAGGGTCTTGGAAACCTCATGTATGGCAGAACACGAGGGGACCCCATGAATCCTCCCCTGCTACCTCTCCCTGACCCTTCCCAACAAGATTTACTGCCCTGGCACTGTGCAGAGACATAGGGGTGACAAGCAGGGTCAAAAGCAGAGGACAGGGTGCTGCCACCTCCTGCTGCACTGCTACTCACCGAGTTGGTCCCCAGGATCTGCAGGTTGGGCTTCTCTGACTCCAGCAGCTTTGCCACCATCTTCAGGAAGCTCTCCACAAAGAGGTTGATGCTCTGGCAGTGGCAGGCCATAAGGAGCTGGTCGAGAGCCTCCATGGCAATACACACATACCTGGGAGTGGGCAGAAGCCAGGGTCACTTCCCAACAGCAGCCTAGGTCCACAGCCATCCCTCCTCCTCCCCTCTTCCAAACCACTTGGGTGCTCACGAGCAAAGCACCAACCTCTTTCACACCCAAAACACTCTCAGGATATTTGTAGATGGTGTTTGCTGCACCCACCACCAACAGTGTTGGTCCCAACAGCCTGGGGACCAAGGCTACCAGCAACACCTTGCATCTACCCCCACACTGCCTGTGGGCTTCCCTTGTCTGAACTGGTTTTTATATCCTGTGAGGGAACACTGGACTTTGTACAGGATGGGCTCAGCATCCCAGGCAACTGTTCTTGCAGACCCAGCTGGTCCTGGCCAGGGAGAACTCAGAATTAGTTCTCAGAACTCAGATGTGCTCCAGAAAAGCTCTGTTTAAAGAAATCAACCCTGCAACGCATATTCATATCACCCCAAATCATATTCATATCTGCAGAAGCTCCAGCAGAACCACCCTCTGGCAGCTGGCTTTGCTGCCACAGTGCATCTTCCAGGCTATTTATTAAACCCGCCCTGCAACACTCGTGCCTCTGAGAGTAAGCTGGAAAACCTTGTGCCAAACGATGAATCTCAGTTGGGTGCTTGATACAGAGGTGATGAGCTTCCATGTCCAGCGATACCTTCTACTAGACCAAGTTGCTCAAAGTCCTATCCATCCTGGCCTTGAACACTGCCAGGGTCATGCTGAGCTTCTCATCAATCAGCACCCCCAAGTCCTTGTCCTCAGGGCTGCTCTCGATCCAGCCTGTAGTTGTGATTAGGACTGTCCCAACCCAGGTCCAAGACCTTGTACTTGGCCTTGCTGAATTTCATGTTGAATTGTATGGGCTGACTGAAGAATTATTCAGGTGTTGCTTCACATTTTCAAGACAAATTGGTCCAGTTGCTTTGGCAAAGTCTGTTTGCACACTGGTCCTGTGGCTCTTCCTACATCAAGAGCATTTGGTCTGTTCCAACTAAGTGACATGAGCCCCTGTACTGATAAATTCTGCAGTGATCACACTGACCGCCAGCTGCTGGTCACACACTGCATAAGCCCAGTGGAGAAACAAATCCTGGCCTCTGAGCACTCTAAGCAGACATTTATTCCAGCTGGAAATGCCCAGAATATAGAAAAACAACAAATGGTGATTTCACCGAGTCTCACAGTTCCCATTCTTCTTGCAAGACCTCTGAGGTACCTGAACACCTGCAATGGACCTGGTACTAGGACAGTGGGAATAAAACAAGCTTTACAGCTCCTTACCACCTCCCTTTGGCTTCTGTTCTCCATACAGCTGTGAATCTTTGTACCAGGGCAGCTCACATCAAGACCCAATCTCCTGCCATGGCAAAAAGCAGGAGGTAGAAATCCCAGATCTCTTGGTATCAACCATGATTCCTCCTTTAAGCTCCGTTTTTTGAGCCAGTTCATTGCACAGATGGATTTGCAGCCTGGGCAGCATGAAGCAGCCATCAGCTTATGCTGCAAGAGGGAAACCCGAAAGCACTAAGATCACCAAAAGCAAGACAAGCAAGAGCTGCCCATCTACTGGCACCAGCTCTATCTGCACATTAAAGGCGAGCTGGGGAGGCAAATGCCCTCTCAGGGTAAATGGAGGTGTCTGATAAACCCTGGACTTCCAAGCTCCAGCTGGTAAAAACACAGAAAGATTGATCCCTTCTCTTGAGCCCCCAGAACTGTTGAAATCTGGCTCCAGTACTAAGTAGATTCTCTGGTGTCTTGTGGCAAGGCTGAGCTCACACTGCAGCCTGTCCTTCAGACAACATTACAGCTCTTCAAGACACTGCAAAAATAAGAAGTTAACTATTCCTGGACCCATGAGCTCCTATCCATCTGTCAAACTGGGTTAAAACTGGCCCGGAGGGGAAAAAAGGTACGAAGAGGTGACTGATGACCAGCATGAAGCATCAAGCTCCTTTCTTGTAGGAAACAAGGCTGAAAACATTTTGTGTCCAATATTATTGCAACAGCATGGCTTCCTATTTGGGGACAACTGGACACAGGCCACCAAGAGGGAAAACAGACACTTGTGGAGTTGTCACCTCTGACCTACCCCAAGTACCCTCTTACAGATGGTGGGTTACATTGCTGCAAACTCAAACAGGAACTCTTCCTCCTTTTAGCAATAAAGGTCACAAAAAGATGACACCAAACAGGCCTGAAATCAAGGCTACCTTCATCTTGCACACAGGAGAGGAACCCACATGCTCTGCTGCTCTCCTGAAGCCCAGGTTTGGTGTCTGCAGCAGGGCAAGCTCTGCTGCTCCAGCCAACACCAACCTACAAACAAAAGGTTGATCCAAACCCATTTCATGCATTTCAAAGTTAGACTTTGAAAATTTTCTGGTGCTCTGACCCAATTATGTGCCTATATGCACATGCATACAGGAATATATTCCCCCCTTCACCCACCGAGGCTTGTCATTAGATGTCAAAAATCTTTGAAAGCCTTTCTTTTCCCAACACAGCAAGCAGAGCCTGTTAACATCCACTTAACCACAGAACATCAGGCAGAGCTTTGAATGTCCTGTCACTGCCAATGACGGGCGATGTGGATGAGGCTTTGAAGGTTTTCCAACTTTAACGCTTCTTAGGCAGGCTGCTGTCCCTTCTTCCCCCAGGATAAAAGGCAGGCTGAAGATCATGCCACAAAGCTGAGCTGTGTTTGTCTACCATGGCTTTGTTCAGGAGACAACAAGAACCAACCCAGGAGCTATTTCAAAGGGAAGGAGCCCTCCCATGCTTCCCCAGAGTTTCCAATGAGGGCAGTCAGCTATTTCCAGACGGTTGCTGCTCTCATTGCAGTAAACACAGCAAAGTCTTGCTGGAAGTGATGTGGGAAGGAAGATGAAGGGAACAAGGCAGCCAGGACCATGCAGCCAGACACTGCAAACACAGCAATCCCCATCCAGCCCAATGCATCCTGCCATGTGTTTACTGGAAAAGCATCAACACACTGCCCCTCATCCTGTTCCCACTTATGCCACGTCACCATAGCTCAGCAGAGATGTGCCTGGGGTGCAACACACCCAACCTTGTCCTAAATAACTCCCAGCAAGCTGCCAACAGTTTAGCTGCTTGCCCACACCTAGGCAGACTTCCATCTGGCTCTGAAAGACAGTGGGCTTCTAAAGGCCGGCAGGGTGCCTGCAGGCTCCTGATGATGGCCTGGAGGAATGACGGCAGTCCTGCTGCTGGGGACAAACACCATACACACACAAACTCCTCAAGCACAGACAGCACAATGCCAGGGAAATAAGATGTGGCTCCCAGGTTGCCTGGTCCCTTGCAGCTTTCCAAGGAGTTTGCGTATACCTGCATGCTCCCATGTCTCGCTTCCGGAGGAAGGACATGGTTGAGTCTCTCACAGTATGCTCACAGCTTCAGGACAGCCTGGAGCATGCAGAAGCTGCATACCCCACGTCCCATGCCTCGCCTGGGCACCCTCTACTGTCTAGTGTCCCATCATTATGCCAATCACTGGGGTGACTGAAACAGCCTCCCAGGCCTTACCCGTATCGGTGCCGGCTCACATCTCGGATGAGCCGCTCGGACAGGTAGGCACCAATGCGATCCAGTTTCTCTGGAGCAGACAGGGCATAAAATGTCAGCTTTTCCATGTTGGTCTTCACCAGCCCATCCTGAAAGAGAGCCACACAAGGCATCATGGCCTCATACCCAGAGCCAGTAATCATCAGGAGCATCCCTGCAGCAAATCTTGGCAGCAGTGCCAGAGGTTTGGAGAACGCCAGCCCCATCCCATCACTTCCCCACACCTTGTACACTAGGGAAGGCAAATGAGGACTGCATTTAGCCTTGGCTGAAGGCTCTCTGATGCTCCACATCCAGGGGTGACCCCGGTGCAACCCTTCATTGAGTACCCCAAGAACCATTTGCCATTGTCTAGCAATGCCCTGGCATGGAGGCAGATAGGGACGTCAACACCTCCAGGCTGCTGAGGCCAAACACCACAAGCATGCATGCCAAGGTGCCAGCCCAAATCCCCTGCACATGGAAAACTGCAGTGCTTCCTCCTCTCCACATAGCTCAGCAGCAGCTTCTCTTGTTCAGCTCTGCTGCCACTGCCATGACAAAACAGGCGCCCACCTCCTCCCTGGGTGACCTCAATCCTGCTACCCTCAGCCAGGTGCCCCTCTGCCACTGCCTTCACATTTTGGCTGTGAAAATGAGGCAAAAAGGTCAGATTTGGGATGTTCCACGCACAGCTGGCAGGGCATTCCCCACCACCAGCTGAGTGAGGCAGCAAACAGGGCACCAGCTTCCCTGCATCTTGGAAGCATAAGCAGCTTTTGAGCTCAAAAGACTGGCTGAGAGCCCAGGAGACCCCCTGCTCTTAGAAGCTGCTTTTCTCATCCTGCAAAGAGAAGGATGTACACCTTCAGGTCCAGTCTCTCATTCTCCCATCCGTCCTCAGCATCTGCCCAGCACCTTTGGGAAAGGAAGTTTGTCCCTCCAGCTGATGTGGCTGGAGGAACTGTTCCTGTATTCACACTCACAAACAGGCTTTAAAGGAAAATCCAACCCTCCAGGCATGGTCTTATGGTGTCAAAGCACCACCTGCTCCCAGGAGTTGTTTATGGGCAGGTCACATCGTGTCCCTGCAAGCTCAGCACTGGAGCTTTGGTGTGTGAAGCACCAGAGCTGCAGCACATGAAGCAGCGCCACATTTACCTCTGGGTCCTCAGGGAAGATGTTGTCAACGAGTCTTTTGTAGCGAGGACGCAGGGCGCCGCAGCAGCCACACACACCTGGAAGAGAAGAGTCAGAGCCAATCAGCAGGGACAAAATCCTCACAAAGGTGCCTTTGGTGGAGAACATATCCTTGGATTCAACAGGGAAGCCTGGGCAGAGTACAGGGCGCCAAGCTGGTGACATCCCAGAGTTTTGCAGCCAAAAAAAACAAGGAAGAAAGTTGCAGCTAAGAGGCAGGGAATTGGCTGGTGATAAGCATCAGCTGACATAGGAGTGCAGGGTTATCTGCTTTTCTCACCCAGGAAAACAGCCTCCAGAGTCCAAAATGTCCAAAGTTATCCTAAATCTGTGCCTCTCTATCTCACAAGGTCCTCTTTTGCAGGTTCTCAGACCAAAAGTTCTTCCCTCCAACCACCCACCCGGGGACACACTCCTCACACCCTGCCCCACGCTCCCCATCGAGCCAGCAGTGATAAGGAGAGCACAGGCTGCTGGATATAGCAAGACAGAAAAAGACAAGAGAGCATCTTATGAAGGCTATGAAAGGAAAATGCATTCTCCTGTTTGCAGTTCCCAAAGCTGAGCTGTTGAGAAACACCAAACACCTTTGATTGCCACTCTACCTTTGGGCTACTGGATCATCACCCCTGACCCCTGTTGGGGACCATCAAATGACCTGTGTTTCACAGGACACCAACACAAGCATACCCTGACCCTCTTTTTGAGGGTCCCCAGACATGACAGTGGCTCGTCCCTGATGCACAAGCCATGCCCTGCACAGCCTCTCCAACATCCAAAACCCCTTGCAGCAGCAACCCCACAGGCCATCAAACAGCAGGCATCAGCCTTATCCCAACCCCGAGCAAAGCAATCAGCCCTGGCCACCAAATACCCCATATGTGGCTGTGACACCCTGCTCTCCTTTCAGGGAGCTTCCAAGGGAAGAGATTGTTTGCAACCTGAGTATTTCTCCCTGTGCCATCTCCTGTTTCTCAGGGCTGCAGCACACCCTCCGCAGCAGCTGGGGATCCCCCCATCTTCAGGTTGGGGACAGTCAGCGGTCCAGGTAGGCTCTCGAGCATCCATGGTGCTCCCACATGCACCGAGCATGGGAACACCAGAGAGTTCAGCACCCGTGGGCACCTCTACCCTGAATAAAGCTGTACCAGTGCTGCCCTGTCTCCCAGCTGATGCTGAATATCTGCAGAGTTTGTTTATTTAAAAAAAGCGGGGGGTGGGGTGGGGGTGAAGGGATTGCTGGATGCTCTCGCCTCCCCAGCACTGCTCCGAGGGCTTTGCATGCCAGGACCCCCTGCTCCAGCACAATGCATTTTTCCCCAGGGCCTGGCGTTACTCAGGTGCTGCACCCCATGGAAGGACACTGATGTCAGCCACCCCAAAGAGCCAGCCTTTGCGAGCCCGGGGAAGCGTGAGTAATTCGGGGCTGCTCTTTGGCAACTATTACCAAGAAGCAGAAGCCATGGGGACAAAGGCTGTGCTGGTGGGAGCCGGCGACCGCTCCCGCTGGAACGCATGAGCTCACGCCTGCTCGCGCCAGCTCCCAGCACTGGCACCGCTCACTTCCTGCAATGTGCTCGCTCGCTTCCCGAGCGTGTCACCTCCACTCGCTTTGGGGGTCCCCTTAGGCTCCTCAGGACAGCACTCCCCCAGCAACACAGTGGTGGCGGAGAGCTCCTTCCATCTCTCATGCTCTCCCTGGCAACTCCTCCGCACCTTCCCACTATCCAATATTTCTAAGTCTTGTATCCGCTGCTCTCCCTCCTCCTTTCTCTGCTGCCTTCAATCGATTTTGCTCTTTTTCAGAAGTACCTTTAATCTGTCCTCTTAATAAATTCTTGTTTGCCATTCACATAAACAAGCACCTGATGATCTCCTGAATCCTCTTAATAAATTCCCCTCGCCCGGGAGAGCCGAGGCAGCATGGCTTATCTCACCTTGCCATGCCACGTGCGTGGAGCCTCAGCATGGGCCATGAGCTCTCCCTGCAAAATAGCTGGAGAGTTTTCCCATAAGCGATCCCATTAGCTAGAAGCCAGCTCCCCTCCACCTCCTGCAGCCTCCTCGGGTAATTATCTCACCTCCAGTAATTCGACTGTGGACTATTTTGGGGATTAATGCACATTCCTAGCCCTGGGAGAGGAGCAAAAAGCCCAGCCGTGCTCCCAATCCACCACCCTCATCCTGATGAATGAAGCCGAAGAGCAGACTCAGCATGGATCCCATCAACAGTAATTGCCTAATTAAAGGTAATGCTTTCCCTCTCACGTAACAGGACCTCTTCTTCCAGAAGTAGATTTTTAAGGTCTCACCTGAAGAAATCAGCAGCAGGGGAGAGACGAAGACTCAAAGTGCCTGCCTGGAGAGGGGACCCAGTTGCCCCATCAGTTACACAGGGCAGGAGGATTGAACATGGTCCAGACAGGGATGGCAGGAACATTGTTCAACCCAAAACACATCAGGCCACTGGTGTGTAAGATCCCGCTATGGCCCAGCAGGACAGAACCTCCCACATTACAATGCCTCCAGGTGAGACTCTCTGATGTCTAGTAAGAGAGCAGAGCTCCCTGTAGCAGGGCATAGAAAAGGTCTCTTTCACTCTCTGCATGACACCAAGAGAAACAAGAAACTTTCCTGTTCCAAACCCTTGCTTTCTGTCGGTTTTGCCCAGCCCAGACATACGTAGGCACAGGCAGGAAGACCGTAAATCCTTTAAAAAGCAAAGTAAAAATGACACAGACCTTGAGGAAAGAGGAAAATTTTCCTTTGTTTCCCCCACTCCAAGCACTCTCCAGAGAGCAACAAACCCATCTGGTCCTGATGCCAGAGCTGAAATCAGCCCTTTGCTTGGTCTATACAGGACCCCTCCCCCCCCCCCCCAGCACCAAACCCCAGCCTGGGTACCGACAAGGGTCTCAGACGTTTCTTCTTCCAGATACTGGTTTCCTTTAGCACCCACCACACTGACCCTATGCACCTTGTACCCTTGCACTAGCACAGCTGCAGCCACAGCTCCAGCCCCGAGCAAGGCACTGACCGGCAGCACCCCACCGCTGCGAGGACAAAACCCCACAGCCACAACGCATTCCTCCAGCCCGGCTTGGCACCAGATATTTAAAACAATAGAAAGATGACACCAAAGGTCACCAGCAGCCACAGCAGCTTCCCCTTCCCAGGAAATCCAACCCAACACCCCATGGAATAACAAAGCCAGGAGAAGGTACCTGCTCCGGCCACGTGCAGCATCTCCCAGGAGCAGACAGGGCCGGCGGCACAGAGCCGCAGCGCGGGGCCGAGAGCCCAGGTAGTCAAAGCCATCGCGTCCGGAGCGAACCAGGAGGCTCGGAGTGCCGGGTACCGCCCTTCTCTTCGCCGCGCGGGC